AAGAACAGTCTATTTTTCTGTTTTCTGCCAAAAAAGGCAAACGAAATACATCTAAGTTTCACATTTGAGTAATGTAACTTGATCCTAAAATCGTCTATGATAATACGTGGCTTCTAGTGGTACTAGGTTGCTAATCGCTTGCAAGTGTCGAGCGTCGCGCGTCCGCTTTTTGTGGTGCAATGTGCGGCGGGTCTAATTGGCCGCTCTGTCGCTAATTGAACGGTTAGCCGGTACTGGTCCTAGCTGTGTTTGTTAAACGATTAAACGGCTTATTAAACGTGATTTGTGGATGTTGTTCTTTTCTATTTTTGACGGTTTGATTTAGTTTCCTCCACGAGGACTACACAGTTCGAATAAAATTCATTCATCTTGAAACTTAAATAAATAGCTTCGCAAAACAATTCGTCTTATAAATCGTCCTCATCAACATCAATGAAATGACAGAAAAATGTTTTCATGACTGTTAGTGCAACTAGTACTTACTTTTACTGTTACAAATCCATTCTTCCTCAATAATATGCTATAATAGCGTAATAAAATAATGAACTATTATTTATTTCTCAAAACCGAAAACAATAAGAAAAGGAACAAGAAACAATAGTACCTACTAGGTTAGCTTGTACAAAATAAGGGCCACCATTCAAAAATAAGATCTTTAGAGCAGAAGATTTAGAGTATTCTCCTGGCTATAACATTACAATGAAACCGGTAGATAAATATATAATAAGTACAAAAAGTTGTTTCAGAAATAGAGCCCCTTATAGTATTGCAGCTGCCCTCATACCAGCTCAAGGCAAACCGCCCGCTTCTTTTAGGCCCCGTTTTGCAACGTAAATTGTTTTTTTTTCTCTTTTAACCAAAGACTAGAGCTTACAATGGCACGGATAAGTTTATGCCTTCTTTAGTTTATAGACTGTAATGGAAGTCTGTATTAATTAATTTATGAAGGCAATTTGATGACTAAAACGGTATTGAAGCACTTATTTAAGTAGCGAGGTTATTTATAGCGGATTTTATTGAAAACAACTGTTTCTGTTTCATTGATATGTATTTTTAAACGATGGTTTGTTTGTTTATGCAGTTGTAATGTTGGTATTTTTGTATACTCGAATGTTCAGACGACATGTACTACCTTTTTGGTAGCCTTTAGATTAATATCTACTGTATCTTTACAAATTCAACGGATATATCCGTGAAAAATAATACTAACAACCTTATGTTCTAGTCGGTGTCATGTTATTGATTAGTTCTTAGGGATTCTAGACCACTAGTACTTCCAAGGCCGAAAGGAATTGAATAAAAATAATATAGGTGCACTTCTTCGCACTACTTATTCGCATATTTTCTCTGTCTGGTCTTACTCTGAACGCACCTGCCCCGACATTACTATCTCCGTCCTTATCTTGTGCATAATTTCATGATGTAGCTATCTCTTTCTATAATATCACATGTTTGTTTTTATCGCCATTATTACCGGTGTGATTGTGATCTGAATGAATTAATGGACACTCCACACAATGTTTTACGATATTTGTAAGATTTTTTTTTATTAATAGGTGTCGGTTGTATTTCAATCATTTATCCTTCAAAGATTTTACTTCATATACAAATCTTAAAAACATTTTGATATGTTAGGAATAGCTAAAATCATTCAAGGCTTTGGGGAAACATACCTCAGTCTCAACCAAATAGGTATTTTCTCATCTCCGAAGTCATAAGTTTCTTTAAAGATACCTACACCAATGGAGTCAGTTTTCTTAATGTGCTCGTTTGTAAATAAGTTCCTACTTTCCTACGTGATTAGGCGCACATAACAGATAACAGAACGATAGCCATCCTACTTACCTAATAATATCTAGGATAATCCTGATATCACCAACATCACCATCATCAATCGTCTGTAATCCTTGCCTTATCTTATTCTATTACCTAATTAAAAGACTCAGTAGGTACAACTTACCTATACGCAATTGTTCGAATCTTTTTTATTAAACATGAATCGCTAAAAGCGTTGCTAAGCGCAAAACTCAAAAACGACAGCGTCGATTCGGCTGATCAATTTTTAAAAATTCTATTGAGTCCTTTACTACCTCTAGAATAACTGACGAAAAAATACGTCTCGGGACAACCAGTTAACCAATAGAAAATATGAATCTTACCCTATTTCATTAACAACCTATGTTAATTAATATATTATCTATCTAATGTTTTCTTCTTTCTTATCGTGTGGAAATCGTTATGGGTGTGTTGCATCCTACTAAGGGTAATAGTTAAATATCTAATGGTCTGCTTGTTCTTACTGGACCAAGTAATCCGGCGACCCACCCTTTGCGACCATTGGCTTTCAACCGCAATTCCTCCTGAGAATCGCATCCGGAACGAGGCGACGCGACGACGATGCTCTTCTGAAAAATATTCTAGAAAATATATATATTACTTAAAATTGGCCTTTTGTTACGTTCAGTATTTTATAAGCGAAATTTAAAATTCAAGAGTTAAAACTAACTTAACTACTTACTAACCTGAAAATGCTTACAACCGGTATGGTTTCCTTAGACACATCAAAATCTCTCTAATATAATCGACAAATACGTTGCTATGCTAAATGTTTGAAACAGCTAAAACGTTATTGTAAATTAAAGACCGAATTAAACTTTAAAATACGTTAAAAGAAAAACTCATTTCTCAACAAGCTAACAGTAACAAACAATGATCTTGTAAAGCAAATTATGTAAAAAAGATCGTGCAAGCCCGCTACAGCTCGAGAGGCGGTACGGTTGGAGTGCCGTACTCCAAGCTAGGGCCGCCTCCCCGCCCTCGTATCAGCCGACCACGAAGTTCGCAATAACGGTACGCGAGTGCACACTAGCGCCGCGCGGAAACTGACCGAACTATGTCGATAGTTGACTGATGCAATGTTGTTATTTTTGTATTCTTTTATGCCTGCCAGTTATTTATGATGTAACACCAAGTATTTATTACTGAATATTGAGTGTGTGGATGTAAAATTTCTTAATTTCAGTTAAATTGTTAAATTTTATTCGTGATATTAAATAATTTTGACGCACATATTTCAACAGTACCTACCTATCTACATACATTTAGGTACCTATTTCCGGAATTAACAATTTACTATTTTTATATGGTTATTTTATAATTATAGGTAAAAAAATAGTAACTGTAGGTAAACAGAACACTGATCCATTTTCAGCCCAAAAAGTATCCATCCACAAAGTCTCAACAACGGCCTATAAAAAAACCATAAAAATAAAAAAAAACACTAACGCAATCGGAAGTGGTGGCGCGCACTATCTACAAATGTGGTTTGAAGTCGTATCATCGTACTGTGTGTGCGGGACTCTAAATGGTAACTCGACTAACACGACACGTCTGTGCTGACCACATCCGACAGATGTAGGCAATGTATAAGTAGGTAAGTATGCGATACGCGGCCACGATAAAACTTACAAGTTTTCCTTTGTTTTAAATAAACACACTTCTATAAATTAATGTGTTGTTGGAATCATAGATTCATTAATTAATAAGCGAAGGAAACTGGAATGATATTAAACATGACTTGGGTCATTGAAAGAAGAACAGTAAATAATTGGTTAAAGTCTGTCAAGACTAGAGGTTTTTTTACCGAAACTTTTGGTGGGAAATTCCTAATGGTATTGACATGACATAGGTACATTAATAATCGTCAAGACAAAACATTAGCTAATGAACTTATCAAAACAAGCCTTTGCCTAGTAGACTGACTAAGTTACCTAAATTGAAAGTTCCTTCAAGTTTAACCAAAATATAACTGACTTAAACTAAGCCATAGGAACTAATTTTATGTACCTATTGCGTACCTGTGGAAATACTAAATGTACCACAGATAGATAGTACCTAACTACATTTCTACCACTTTACCACAACTATTCAAACACTATATCTAAAGTTTAAATTCGAATATCAAATGGCCAACCGCTAGACATCGGAAATTCTCAACTTCCTCGAAAATTGTTTACCAATATTTCTCCGGTGTCGAAGCAAGTGAGTGAGCGAAAAACGGGAGCCCGATATCCATTTATCTAACTAACGCATCATCCAACATCCAGCTGTGCATCGTTTGGACGATAACTCACTTACTCACATTCACTCAGTTACCTGTATTTCGTCCAAAATGTTTCACACAACTTTGATATTCACACTTTCGGCTTGCTGATCCGAACCTTCTAATTCTTAATATCCTGATCATTTAATCGGGGCATTATGCTTCGAGACTTTCTCGGTCTGCAAATGATGAACACATAAGCATTTTAAATAAGAACTCCTTCATGTAAAAATATAAATCACCTATAGATAAGTCTTAGAGACCCTACCTATTATTTAGTTAGTTTCTCTAAGGTAGAAGTATGGGATTCGCCAGTGTAACAAAAGTCTAATGACTTAACAAGCAAAATGCAGTCTCAGTTACCGCATAAAGGTTTATCCTTCTCATGTCTACACGTACTTTAATATAGGTACTGCCATTGACCGTGACTCCGTTCTCACAATACACAAGTCCCATTTCATCTCAGAGTAACATCTTATTGTTCTACACACTATCAGATTATCGTTGAAAGCTCGTAAAGCCTTTGGTCTTACGTCTGATCTACCTCCGCCGGAGTCGTATTGCAGTCCCAACGGATTTTCACAGTGAACAAATTGGATCTGTACCTTTTTGCTAGACTTATGACTAATGATTTATATCCTACCTAAGTATTATGTATCTGTTAATTCTGTTATTAACAAAATGATTAAATTAACGATACAACATTATGATTCACGATAATTGAATAATGATTCACATTTTTTATCATAACTTTTTTACATTTTTTTACTGACGTCATTTACCTAAGGATCCTGACTGACAATGAAAGGAAAACTCCGTCAATGGTTTTCATTTCCTGTATGTCGACATTTTATATGTATTTGCAATATGATTTTAAGTCTATTTTTCTTTGTTGCAGGATATTACCAGCCTGCGGGGCCATTGATCAAAGAGACGAGTGCTGACGCAGAACGCACACTCGCCAGATACCATCCACATTACCATGCGCCGCATCCACCGGTAAGAAACTTTTATATAAGTAACATTAATATAAAAATTACAATCTTATAATGCTGCAAGGTGTATTTGTTTGTCAGTCGTCAGAGAACCATAGTCAAAAGCATACTTAAATATATCCACTTTGTTCAAACGTGCAATAAAGGTCAGAAAAGTCGATTAGTTTATTAAATAGGCCTTTATTCCTCAGGTACTGCAGCAATATGGGCCGCCATACTATCCAGACCTCTGTTATGGCCGCTACTACCGGCCACCAGGGTCCTACCATATGCCACCACCGCAGCCAGATGCACAGGTATGAAAACAAACTACACTTTCTAAGAAAACAAATATTCCAATACTAGCTTTTACGTTAAAAATCACATCGAAATTGGCCCTTGTGTTCACGAGCTACGATGTCACGATTAGACACACAGACAGATATAGCAACTATCAAACATATTTTTTAAATGTATTGCTATTTTTATAAGTACCTACCTTTATTATTTTTTGTTTGCAGATGGTTGGTGTCGGTAGTGAACCGTACCCACCACCACCACAGTATTATGGCACACCGCCATGTTACCAACATTCTCCTCAGAGGATACCATACGTAGGTCAGTACTATCAATTTTTATTATTAGTTATTATGCTCGTATGGCCAGAAAAAGCGATGCATCATTTCTGCTGCTAAAAATATCGTCGTAAACCCGTTTGTAGATCAAGGTAATGTCTAGCTAGATCTTAAGTTTTAATGTTTTTTCACATTAAAATTCGAAATTTGATTAAATGCATCTGTGCGACCTTCACATGTTTATGCTGACATTAATTATCACTTGATACTCTTTATTACCGTCTCCACCTGTTTTTCTAAATAAACTCGTTTTTTGCAGAATATCGCGGATGCCCGTGCCCATTAAACGCGTGTCCAAAAAACGTGCTTATTGGGCCCGCTACTGGTAAAGCCCCAGCCGGTGGCGGCCCAGCAGATGTTCCTCCTGCACTTGCGCCGCCCGGGGGCGCCTTCCGACCGAAGGTGCGGGCGTGCGCTCTTGACGCTGTCGCAGACACACATGGCAGCGGCAAGGTACGTCTACCTTTCTCAGTACGTACTATCATAGTAAGTTTTCCGATTAAATCTTTTAATCGAACTAAGATGTTTAATAGAATACACGTAAAATGCAAAAAATATACATAATATTTAACTTTACTTACATTGTTGTAGGACCCGCCACTAGAACTGGAACCTCCAGCTGCAGCGGATGCTCCTCACCCTCGTGCTATGCCAGCAATGGGTGGCGTTTCTCCTAAACGTGAGATCTATGATGTTCGGGATAAGTTACGCATTGCTAATGATATACCTGGACCTGCAGAGGCTCTCGGACCACCATCACCCGCTCGTGGCTCAGCTGGAGCGTGCGCCCCACAGCCCCCACCTGTGGCACCACGCCGTGCTCGCCTCGGCAAGGCCATGGCCAGGCGTTCCCTTGTAGGCGATGACACCGGCCTCCTATTATCCACGCCACAACCTCCACTACTTGTGCACCATAGTGACGCTGATGACGATGTGCTCGCTATTTCACCTCCAACGTGTGCTCCAATCGACCTCTCTTCTTCAGACGAAAGGTCGACCCCTCTAGTCGATGTTAAAAAAGAAAATGAAGGTCCCACATATAACACCGCCAGAAAACCAGAAGCACAAGCACTTAGAGAGCATAATAGCACTACAGTTATGGACGCTAACATCGTTCCTGATGCAGCTAAAGCGGTGAAACGAAGATATTCAAAACCCAAATTAGAGATTGATATGAAAGATACTCAACTTGAGGAATCTTGTAAGACGAATGGAATCGGGGAACACGTAAAACTCCAAAAGCGAAGAAAAGTTTCGGGGGATCAGACTGATATTCAGAGGGTAGAAACTATCACTAAAGAACCCAAGAAAAAGCCAACTCAAGCTAAGAAAATTCCAAAATCGCCGCAGGCTGATAAGAAAACTGTAAAACGGAAATCAGAAAGTGCGACGGGTGGCTCTAAGCCAAAAAAGATGCTTCTCGAGAATGATGAAGACAATAAAGTCAAAAATATTGTCGCAATCATCGATGAATCACACCCTACAAAACCAAAAAATAAAAGTGCACTACTTCTTGATAATTTAATTCGGAAGAATAGCATCGACCGGCCAGAAACAAAAGGCTTAGACGCTGAACTAAATCCAGCTGAACTGTTCCTATCTCCTACCGAAAATATCGCACAAATTAGTGCCAAGAAAACCTTAAACATTAACAATAATATTGTAGACAGTGGAAACAGTACCGTTAATGGAGTTCGAGCCAATACACTTGCCGCTGTGTCTCAATTAATAGGCAAGAAAATGGCTTGTAAATTAGAAAAAGTTGATTCCAAAGTTAGTAACGAAGTTAAATCAGTATTAAAACCACCCACCGTAAAATCTGTTCCTGAGAATGACTGTAAACCTTTGAGCAAAAATGAAAATATTGAAGAAAAGTTAAAACCCTGCACTAAAACAGAAACTGAAATTCTCACACCTCAAACTGAAAAAGATGTACCAGAAATATTAAAAGACAGTAACATTTGTACTCACACTGTTGCGGTAGACATACCAGCACAAGTAACTATAACATCAAAGGAAAAGGAAGATTTTGAATTAGACGTTGAAGAAATGGAAATCGAACACGCGGAAAAGATCGAAGACAATGAGGACAAAAAAATATCAGAGAATGAAAAGGAGAAGTCAAAACCAGTAAAGTTGGATAGAACGACGGTGAAGCGATGCAAACTGTCAAATGGAGAAATAAAGGCTAAAAATGTGGAGAAAGTAGTTAAATTATTGGTATCCAAGAGGCCGGCATTTAAAACAGATGAGGCAACGTTAGTGGTGGAGGAAGCCTGTGCATCTCCAACGCCCACAGGGCCAGGGATGCGGCGAGCTAGGCGGCGGGGTGCGGGCCACTCACGCCGCGGCCGTCGCCCGCTTGCACCGCCCGCCCCGCCCGCGCTCGAACCGCACGCCCCGCCACGCTGGAGTAATGGCTGGAACTGGGACGGAGAACATTATTTATCCAAAGTCTACCTCAATGTAAGTACCATTGGTTACCCCAGTGTTAAGATAGGTACTGAATACGTATTCCATTTGCTTAAACTTATTTAAATATTTCAGAATGACTCCAAACTGGACCGCACGGCACGATGTTGGTCGCGCATGACACATGCTAGTGGGGACAGCGTGTCACGAGGTGACTGCGTACTGTTACGGGCATCCCTAGCCAGAGCACAACCTTACGTCGCCAGGGTTGCTAGTCTGTGGGAAAATCCTGATGATGGTAAGATACTCTAAAATATCCATACATTACATACGCAAAGTCCCATCAAGAAAAAGTAACAGAACATTGAATTGTAATCTCAATTTTGCAGGAGAAATGATGGTGTCACTGGTATGGTATTACCGACCGGAGCACACGGAGCTTGGGCGACAGCCGGCAGATGCACCCGACGAAGTATTCGCGTCACGACACCGAGATGCCAACTCTGTGGCATGCATCGAGGATAAGTGCTACGTGCTCACCTTTAATGAGTACTGCCGGTTAGTAAAACAGTGGGCAATTTACCTTCTTATACTTAGACAAATCTATTACATCAGTCCAAAGAAGAGAGCAAGCAAAATATTCATTCATTCTCTTTCTTGACAGGTATCGCAAACGGCTAAAAGCGGCAGAAGAAGGCGTTACCATCAGCCCTTCGATAGTACCTCCGATGCCAGCCAGCGAGGTGAGCCCAGCAGTGGCGCCCAATGACAGTCGCCTGCCGCCCTCCGTGTCCCCCGAGCTGGTGCTATTCTGCCGCAAGATATACGACTTCAGGTCCAAGAAAATACACGTACCTAACAAATGAACTCCTACGCGATATCGTCTGGATGTCGTTTATAAGATCTGTGTCGATCTGTGCACCGAGGACGAGGCGTCGACGCCTTACGGATGCGTCACAACCAATTTTTACAAAGTATTTTATCTAAAGGATGTGAACACCAAAGTTACGTTATGAAGTTTTATCACGTTAGTTGTCGACAGCACTTGGTGGTTCTCGGTGTAACACGGTGCATGGACGCCGCGATGGGGGTCCTACAGACTTCATCGTTTCTTATATAGTAGTGTCTCATTGCAAACCTTTAAATTAGTACAAAAACGCGTTCCCGGGTGCAAATCGTAGAATGTGTGACCTGTGGCCATTTTATGTGAAAATAAACTACGTAATCGTTGTGTTTAGTAATCGCCAATCGGTCAGTTTTGTTGCTTGTGTCGTGATTTGTCGTAGAAGTTTATTTCGTATCTAGACTTACAGTGATTTGCGGTGTCAAATAATTTGGAAGAATAATTATTTGTATCAAAGGATGCCTTTTTTAATATGTAAGTAGTTATAAGGAAATCGTGTTTGAGATGCATAATTATGTATAGCAATATATTTTTCTTTTTGCTTGAAATTAAGATGAGCGAATGTCCTATTTATTCTCATTCTTGTTAAAGTAATGAGATGCTGAGTACTGATTCGATGGCTATTCATTATAGCTGATACGATTTTGTATGACATTTAAGATTTGATTGGCTACTGGGAATTTGAAAAGGCATTTATAATGATTACAAACTTATGTTTAATTATGTACCTATTTGTTATATTGTTGCACAGACTTTATCTCGTTATATAGTCTGTGTATTGTTGTCAAGGTAGAGTCTATATTAAATTATTCTTTTATTTTAAGAGCGTAGGTGCGTGTGCGTGCTATATACATCGCGATTGGATCTCTTCTGTACTTGGCGCTCGCGGTTTGATACATCACGGACAATGGTGCGCATCGTAGCTCGCGGTACACGTATCATGTCGAACTATTGTTTACGTTTCTAAAATATACGGAACTCTTACAAAGAGTTTACAATTAAATTAAGTAGTTATTGATACATCACAAATTTTGCAAGTTTTATAATTTTATGACATAGAATCGTAATTTTAATCGGATAACGGGGTGAAGGTTGCCTCAGTTAAGTTCCGTATCAATTGTGTAGCCCCCCGGCCAACTAAATGTAACTTCGTTCCCGTAGGCGCGTTCGATGACATCTGCAGTCGTTTTTAATATCAAGTAAATGATACAAAAATATTTAACTTTAACCCTGCCTTCGAAGGAATTGATTTTAAATTGCATTTCGGCCTTTTAATATCCAACGTAGGAAGTAATTATTTCAATTAGGACCGGTCCAAAGTAGTTACAGGAAGACTGATTTTGCGAAAAGTTTTAAAAATGTTGTCTATATTCATTTAATTTATTTAGCAACATTACCCAGACGAAAATTCAAAAAGATTTCGTTTTATTTTCAAAATCATGTCAGGCAATATTTACAATTTACGGAAAATAACAAATGGGAACATTGTAACATATTTTAAAATGTAATATTAGTGCATAGATGTATACAAAACAAAAGAAAAACACTTCGGTGTTAAAGAGATATATTGTAAGACTATAATAGTGAAATCTCTTTATCATTAGAAACATATTTTTAAGTAGTGCGATCGAAATAAAGAATATATATTTAACGTTATATTTCCTACGTGGAAATTGAAGAAAGGGCATTTATAAAGTACGTTTCAATTTGATTACGTTATCATTTCCTTCTTCACTATTACCTACAATGTATCTCTATTGTGTTGACTATTATTTTTGTACATATAAAAATTTGTTTTAGTATTCGCATGCTATTTGTTATCCAGTGAGATTTGTAACAATTAACCGTGTTGATAATTCCGAACTAATGGAGGTAATATTCTCTTTGATTCATGTGAAATGTGCATTCCGTTTAATGATAGATAAATGAATAAATCTGGAAGCATGCGATGTGATCGTGTACGCAACAATTTTTGAATTACCTACTAGGTGCAGTATTTTCATATGTCTTTTCTTACGGTCAACGAACCTATATTGAATGTTTTCGCATAAGTGTATTAGATTCTGATTAATCTAAACACACAATAATTGTTCAGACTGTACTTAGGGTGTCGAGATTGGGCTATTGCCCTGAGGATTTGTACTTATTGTCTAAAATATGTATTTATGAATAGGTGCAAGTCCTAATCATACGAAAAGGGGGTTGCCTATCAAATTTTAAATGTCATTTATTTACCACAGCAAAATGTTATATTTAGGTGTAAGTAGTGATCCTCAGGGTGGCATTTAAGTTTTAGAAACTAATTTTTTTCATTCTATGACAGCTAACTTTTTAATTTTATTATCTTATCAAGCCACAATCTCACTGGTTGTCTATTCCAAAGCTTAAGTTGTCTATGTTCTTTTATTTCTTTTCATTGCTTGATGCCAAAAATTTTAGCTGCAAAAATTCTATTATTCAGTAAATGATGTAATACCAATCTCCTTCTATTTAGGTTAAAGGATGACGGGGGAGTCGGCGCCTGACATACCACCACGTATATTATAGTCCATACCTAGTATCTAGGTCAAATAAAATCCCAGTTTTATAAAAAAAAACCTATTGAACCCCGTAGAATGCTTACTGTATTTATCATAGTCTATGTCGTAGGTTATAGTTTTAGAGCACAAATTCCTACAATGGACAAGTTGTTCATGTGCTGATTCTCCCGCCATCAATACTCATTATTAATTAATCATAGAATTAATGAGTAAATTCCATAATAATACTATAAGTGAGCTCTCCCTTGCTTGTAGGAGGATTGTTTTTAAATGTTACCTGGACAAAGCGCGATTGCAACCTTCTATAGTCAATGATTTTAGCGTTAGCTCTACTAATAAGGAAATACCTTGTTTTTATTATTTATTTTGTTTCAATGAAAATTATATAGGTATATTTTATTATTGTAACCTACATAGTTACGTTGGCTGTAATTTAATATTGATGTAATTAATATATGTATTTTTATTTCAATTTTGGTGTTTTATTAACCCCAAAAACGTACCTATCCAATTACCCAAGTATGGTAAAACTATCAAAAATATTGGGTCACACACAACCCATCATTATTATTAGATTGAACCAGTATCTACTGGTTAATTCACACACAATGCCAATGTGAACCAAAGTTACTAGGTATAAGGCCTCTGCCTCGAATTTTGCGGGCAGCGGGGCGGCAGTGGCGGTGGCGCGGTTGGCACTGCTTGACTAGAGTGCACCGCTCGTTGCCCGCCGCAACGTCGCTGAGTTTTCGAGAACCAGTCCATTTGGTTTTACGCATAAGATCCTGCCGCTCCCGCGCCGCCGCCGCCGCCGCCGCTCCGCTGCCCGCAAAATTCGAGGCAGAGGCCTAAATAAATGGTAGGTATTTTTTCTTAAGTAGTTTCAACAAAGATCTTTTTGCTCCTATGCAATTACCGTTTTGTATGAAAAAATTTAAACGAATTTTTTATTTATATTAATCGAAGTTTTCACCCATGTAATCAAAGCCTTCTTAAAGAAATCAGCTGGACGGGAGACAACAGTCTTCAAAAGCATTTTGTACTGCCTCTTGGGTATTGAATTTTTTCCCACCAAGAAGGATCCAAATTCTGGAAAAAGTAGTTCCTACCTAGTCTTTAGGCGCAAGGTCTAGTGAGTAGGACATTTGTCTAGCGTGATTCATCACACCGGCGCTAGACCACCAAATAGTGACCATCACTTTTCTAGGGGTAAGTTTTAGGGCATTGTTTAGGGTGCTAAACCAGCATCCATCCTACTTGCTGAGCGGTTGCGATTATCAAACAGAATTCATTTTTTAACTCAGGTAACAATGCGGTTCAAAATTACTTGATTGTGTAAGCTTCCATGATCGCCTTTATTTCGTCATTGTCGACCAAAATCTTCGGATAACCGCGAGGTTCATTTTTCAGGTCGAAATTTCCAGAATGGAAGCGAGCAAACCAATTACTTACAGGTGATGCGTTGGTTTGTAGTGTTAGCTCCTTAAACGTCGTTGATGTTGCGTGCCGATTGTGCAGCGTTGCTACTAATTACTCGAGATCTCGTATCCATGATGACGAAAAAGATTGAAATTGCGATGAAAATGTAACACTAATCAATAACAAAAAATCGAAATTAGAATTCTTAGCCAAACAAAATTTAGTATTTTGATTTGTAATGGCCTTGGAATGGAATACTGCAGAACGGCAATTTCATTATTAAAGACCTAATATTATGAATGGGAATGCCGTAGGTATGGGTAGCACGTTCTTGAATGACATGAACATTGAACATGGAAACTCAAAAATATTATTATTCAGAATGTTTTCACTAATACAAACGTCATACATCCAAGGCTACTGCTTAATAAGAAGTCAGTGTAACCAATCAGAATCACTGAAGCTACCTATCAAAAATTGAACGTCCAATGGTGTGACACTAACTAGTTCCTTATTGGACGAAAAGGCTCACACTAGCGCCATCTTGTGAGCAGTAGTCGTTGAATACTTCCTAGCCTTCCTAGTTTGTCGCGGAGAACCTAACGGGTAACCGGGGCTCCGGCTCGACGTGCAGGAGAAGGAACGGGGTGGTTTTTAGTCAGTAAGAGTCTGACACTCCCT